TTATTAAGAGCTACAAAGGACAAGAATTTTGGAGAGACATGATTTTCTACGTCTTTAGCGAACAAACAAGAAGAAGGAATAATTTTGACAAACCTTGTACCTTCGACAAATTAGATGGATGTAGTTCTTTCTATACGTATCAATGGTTAAATTACATTTTTTCTCCCAGTCCATCTGCTTGCGTATATCTTAGCAAATGTCTTCCTATAAATTCGTCTTTTCGAGTATATATGAGAGTAAGAAGTTGCTGCTTGCATTTTCGTTTTTAGCACTCCTTGCTATCATCATTTCCATCATTTAACTTACTTTGGCCTTTACCTTGTGCGTTTAATTTAATGCAATTCTACAACGCCTTTCGGGCGGCAAGTCGATCTCAGAACATCAAACTAATTATCGGCTTGTCAGCGCGCGCGTAAAATTCCCGCCAACCGGAACCCGTCCTCTTTCTTCAGACTAAAATGCTCACGTCTTGCTATGATGCATTCAGTTCGACACGTAAACACAATGACACGTGTATATGTCAACCGGTACACACATATACATGTTCCCAGCAGCACACGCATACAAGCACTCAACACACAAGCGCACGCGTTCACATTCGATGTCATACTTAAAATGTATTTACATGCAAGCGTTTACAGGCGGGAATCCAAATGCGTAGTCAATGATACTTAAATTAAGACACATAGACACACACATTTATAAATCAATGTAAGCAGAGACATGGTTGACACATGGATATCTTTGCAATTGAACCCATCACGAATGAAGGCATGAACACGAGAAATAAAGTAATTGATTTTTTAAATACTCGCTGTATAGTAAATATAAATAAATAAATCTATATATAAAATAGCGACATTTTACACATCGCACCTTGTATATATGTGTGTGTGTGTCTATATATATATATATATATATATATATATATATATATATATATATATATATATATAAATATGGCACATATAGATTGATATATATATACACACACATATATATATATATATATATTATAGATAGATAGATAGATAGATAGATAGATAGATAGATAGATAGATAGATAGAAAAAAATGAAACAGCCTCATAGATAGATAGATAGATAGATAGATAGATAGATAGATAGATAGATAGATAGATAGTAAAAAACAAAGAAAGTAAAAATAAAGAAACAACCTCCTAGATAGATAGATAGATAGATATGAAAGAAACAACCTCATAGATAGATAGATAGATAGATAGATAGATAGATAAAATGAAAAGAAAAAGAAAATGAAACAGCCTCATAGATAGATAGATAGATAGATAGATAGATAGATAGATAGATAGATAGATAGATAGATAGATAAAAAAAAAACAAGAAACAACCTCCTGATAGATAGATAGATAGATAGATAGATAGATAGATAGATAGATAGATAGATAGATAGATAGATAGATAGTAAAAACAAAGAAACAACCTCATAGATAGATAGATAGATAGATAGATAGATAGATAGATAGATAGATAGTAAAAACAAAAAAAACAACCTCATAGATAGATAGATAGATAGATAGATAGATAGATAGAAACAAAGAAACAACCTCCTAGATAGATAGAAACAAAGAAACAACCTCTTAGATAGATAGATAGATAGATAGATAGATAGATAGATAGATAGATAGATAGAAACAATAAAACAGCCTCCTAGATAAATAGATAATGAACAGGCTGAGATAGATTGTTTTTGTTTAGGGTAAATTACCCCAAAGATAGATAACAAACTGAGTTTTATAGCTAAGCTAGATAGAAAAGGGAAAGACTTATGTCCATCTCAACGATATTCTCCCCTTGACTAGATTCAATTTTACATAGTATAAATATATATATTCATATATGTATATACGCACATACGCACACACACACACACACACACACATATATATATGTGTGTGTGTGTGTGTGTGTGTGTGTGTGTGTGTGTGTGTGTGTATACTGGGTGTAGAAGGAATATACAGTGTAACCCGGATGTAAGAGACCGAATATAAGAGAAACCCGGATATAAGAGATTTTTTCTGGTCCCAAATTAGAGCCTGTGTTAATGTATATAAAATAGACGAAACCCGGATATAGAGAAACCCGGATATAAGAGACTTTCTTCTCCGGTCACGACAACTCTCTTATATCCGGGTTACACTGTACAAAAATAAACGTCTTTGTTTTACGGAACTATTCGGTGTACAGAGACGTTCAACATTAAATTTATTTATATATATATATATATATATATATATATATATCTCTGTGTGTGTGTGTGTGTGTGCGCGCGCACCTGTGTAGACGTGTGCCCGGGGATTCAGATCAATTTAATTTATATGTAACACACTTAATATGAAAATTTCAATTTAATAACAAGAAACACATATGCCCGTGTGTTCGCATCTACGTATCTGTGTGCGTGTGCAGGAATGTATGTCTCTAAGTGGAGGGGGGATTGTAAAAGGAGAAGAAGACAGAGATGTTGAGGAAAAGATAAAAGGGAGATAAGACTGAAACACATAAAGTTAACATCTTCCTTTTTGTCCTCGATGTTAAGGCACTTAATTTCTTTGTATTCTTGGTTTTGTTTTTTTTTTGTTTTTTTTTTCAGTATCTTTGTTCGTCCCTGTTCGAAAGGCAGATAACAGATTTATTTTGCCCTTTGACCTTTTTGACTATATGACAATTGAATTTGGAAATAATCGTTATTTCTATCCTTTTTTTTCTTTTCTTTCCTTTTTATTATCGTAAAATTATTTTTATTGCGTGTAAAATCCTATATTTTTATTGTATTTTCTTCTTTCGTTCTTTTTTTTTTTTTTTGGCTTGCATTTGTTTTCGAATTTGTTTTAAATTATTTTTTTCCAGATTAATATTTAATTTGTCTGGGTTTTATTCATTGTTTTATCTGTGTAGTTGCCTTCGGGAAAAAAATGGCTGTATTTATTTATGCAATAAAATTACATATATTGAGTAGCATGACAGTGTCAACCAAAGAGAATGATTTTCAAAATGATTGCCCGCCCCCTTGAAAGCAGACTACAGAGAGAAAACTCTGATGCAAGCACGCCGTTGTAACCAAACAAAAACGGACAGAAACACACACATTTATAAATCTACCATCCGGATGTCCATTGAATATTGCTGCCATGTCCGGCCTAGCGCTTTTGCTATTAATATCGAGGTTCTTAATAAAATCCAAAGAAGAATCTGCAGTGTTATTGGTCCTGATCTGGCATCTCAGTTTCAGTCGTTTTCCCAGCGACATGACGTGGTTTCCCTCTGTCTTTTCTACAAATATTTTCATGCAATTGTTATGATGAGTTTTCCTCTTTGGTGTCTGGAATGTATGAATTTAAACCTACTAATAGATTGGCTACTATGTCTCGCCGTTTTTACTGTTAAACATTGAAACGTAAGTTCTATACTAATAGTTTCTCGTTCGCACGCCTCCCGATTAATATCTTCCATGATATTTACAATCTTCAAAAATTTAAATACAACGTCAATCACCATCTTCTGCTCTTGAACTCTGTTCATTTATTGTCCTTTCTTCTTACTAAAGTCTTCTCATTCTCTTTCACTCCCAGTAACCCCGTGCATCTTAGTGGCTTTATCGCCGTCTTCTGTCTTCCTGAAACCTGTTCTTTTATTGTTATTTCTCCTCACTAAAGTCTTCTCATTCTTTTTCACTCCCAGTAACCCCTTGTTTCTTAGTGGCATTATCGCCATTTTGTGTCTTCTTGAAACCTGTTCTTTTGTTAGCCTTTCTCCTTACTAAAATTTTCTCATTCTCTTTCCCTCTCAATAACCCCTTGCATCTTATTGGCATTATCACTATCTTCTATCTCCTTGAAACCTGTTCTTTTATTGTCCTTTCTCCTCACTAATGCCTTCTCCTTCTCTTTCACTCCCAGTAATGCCTTATGTCATAGTGGCATTATTAAAAGAAAAAAATGCTCCGATATTAAACAGCTATTCCCCAGGGTTCTATCCTTAGAACAATTTTTTTTTGTTATCTTTATCTAATTTGCCCTCAGTTTCCAAAGCGTTATCGATGCCGACGGTAACTATTTAATCTTGTCTTAATAGTGAGATCGATAAGTTCGATAAAGTAAAACTGGGGTCTGCTCTCAAAAACGATCACCAATCACTGGTTAACAGGGGCAAGAAATGACTTGTTACCGCCCCCAATACGAAACGAAATTGCTGTTATTTAAGTCTCCATAGAGAACCATTTTTTTTCTCTTCCATCAGCATGGCTGATGTCAAACCTCCTGGAAAACAACACATGGCGATTTCTCGGCCTCAGGGTTTTTTTCGCTGAAAACAAATGGAATGATAATATTGAATCCATTACAAGGTAACCTGATAGGAAAATTGTATCACTATGTCGTGCCATACAATTCTTCTCACCAGACTCTTTCTTGCACGTTTAGAAATCTACGATTCTTCCATGCATCGAGTATTGATGCCACATTTGGTCTGCTATATGTCTTGATATTTCTAGCAAATTTCAAAGAAGGGTTTGTAATATTAACAGCCCTGACCTGGCATCTCGGTTTCTGTCACTTTCCCACCACTGTAGCGTAGTTTCCCTATATCTCATCTATAAATAATTTCATGGCAATTCTTCTTATGAGGATTCCTATTTGGAACCTCGAACGCATGAATTTAAGAGTCGTACTAGATTGGCAATTTGGTCTCATTGTTTTACTGTTGAAATATCTAGATAAGGCCGTAAGTTCTATTCTAATGCTTTCTCCTCTCTCCGTTTACACCTATGGAAAGCTCTTTAGGCATCTAACCATCCTATCAGCTAAGATCTACAAAAAGTTAAATGGCGCATCAGTCGATATTTTCTGTCTTTCTGAAACCAGTTCTTTAATTGTCCTTTTTCCTTAATAATGTCAATTTTTTTTGCATTTTATTTCATACTCAGTAGCCCCTAGCATCCCAGTGGAATCGTTCATGGGGTGAATTAAATTTTTAAGATAGATAGATAGATAGATAGAAACAGACAAAAATAGAAAGAAAGAAATAAACAGGTGAAAATAGATAGATAGATAGATAGATAGAAACTGACGAAAATAGATAGAAAGAAAGAAAGAAAGAAATAAAGAAAGAAACAGATGAAAGTAGATAGATAGAAACAGACGAAAATAGATATATAGAAAAAAAGAAAGAAAGAAAGAGATGAAAATAAATAGGAACATACTAAGATAGATAGATAGATAGAGACGAAAATAGATAGGTAGCTAGAAAGAAAGAAAGAAAGAAAGAAAGAAAGAAAGAAAGAAAGAAACAGATGAAAATAGATAGATAGGAACAGACTAAGATAGATAGATAGATAGATAGATAGATAGATAGATAGATAGATAGATAGATAGATAGATAGAAACAGACGACAATAGATAGAAAGAAAAAAGAAAGAAACAAACAAACAACTGAAAATAGATAGATAGGAGCAGACTAAGATAGATAGATAGATAGATAGAAAGAGACGAAAATAGATAGATAGATAGATAGATAGATAGATAGATAGATAGATAGATATGCCCATATTCTTGAACGTAGTCGATAGATAGATATGAATAGATTGAGAGTGAGTGATAGCTAATTGAGTCTTGTGCATGAAATTTGATTATGTTCAACCTACTTAGAGTCTCTTGGTCCTGAAAGCCTTTTAAGTCAACAATCCTATTCTCTCGCTTTTTATAAGTCTTTTTATAAAATGAACTTCTAACCACATTACTTGTATCTGATGTTACTAATCAAGAAAAAGCATTTAAGTGTTGCCAGTTTCTTTAGCCGAGTTCATTTCATAATGCACTTCGTTCCTTCCGCTTGATTTTCGATTTCATGATGACGACCGTTGCTTTTTGTTGACTTTTTTTTTTTTGCAATATTTGAACAGAAAACCAAAGAATTCTGTCAAAAATACAGCTCAGAAATCTACCAATATATATGTTTGTGTACTCATGTGTGCAGACGTGTGTCTGTGTTTCAGACATGCGAAAAGGGGGTCCGTGAACAAGTATGTTAGCTTTACGACTATGTGTCCCGGGTACGATTCATACTAGTATTGATTTGTCAAGAAGACTTCTTGATCTTTGAATATTGTTAAGAATGTTAGTTCAGTTTATCGTGCAAGAGAATTTTTTCTTACATATTTATAAGTCTATCATTCGTCCAGGCTTTCAACATTGCTACCACATATGATCTTATATTACTGCTATACATTTAGAGATGTAAATTCCACTTGAGCACCGTCCTGGGTATGACGATAAACTGCATCCGTGTCCTGGGTATGACGATAAATTGCATCCGTGTCCTGGGTAAGACGATAAACTACATCCGTGTCCTGAGTAAGACGATAGAATACATCCGCGTCCTGGGTAAGACGATAAACTACATCCACGTCCTGTCTATGAGGATAAATTGCATCTGTGTCCTGGGTAAGACGATAAACTACATCCGTGTCCTGGGTAAGACGATAAAATACATCCAACATCAAGGTCTCTGATCAGAAGGTTTTGAGGAGCGTAGAACAACCTCTTTATTGCTGATGTTCCCAGGTCCACACTGAGCCGAGATGGTAGCACCTGTTAGGGTCCCAGCTATGGACAAATAGTTAACATCTAAACTGTGATCAAAACACTATGAAAGTGTAAAAATAGGTTTTCATACCAGCAATAAATTTTGTAAAAAAATTATTACCAGTAATGAATTTTGGAAGGAAAAATTGTTACCCGCAATATATTTTTGAAAGAAAAAATATTACCAGCAACTTGTCGTCATTAAATAACCAACTGAGGTTGATATACCGTGAAACAAAACAAAACAAAGAAACTTCCACTTGAGTAATTTCTTCCCAGGGACCGCTGCTCTGCGGAACCGACTCCGAAAACTTTGATTTTTCGATCGCTACAACCTTGGCCTATTCAAGTCAAAAGCCAACCTATATCTTCCCCGGATATATGAATAAACAGTCCCTCTTATTATTACCTTGAATGGGTCGTGTACAAAGATATATATATATATATATATATATAAGGCACGGTGGATTATCGGTGAAGTGAGTTCGAATTCCAGTTGAATCCGTTACATTCACTTACGTACCTTGAGAAAAGTATGAATCCTCTTCTCCCCCCCCCCCGCCAGTTATGCCTTGGATGGCAACTGGTCTAGGAGAAAGACAACTCTGAATTCAAAGCCTGAGGAGGATCGGTTAGAGATCTTTGTTCCATACAGTGCAAAAACTAAAAAAGTGTGATTGGTTCTGCTCAAAACCTACACCCACACTTATACCTATATATATATATATATATATGTGTGTGTGTGTGTGTGTGTGTGTGTGTGTAAAAATGTGTCTATAAACAAAATAATTAGATATTAGCAACTGTATATGCGTGTGCCATGTTCAACAACTTATCATGCGTTTTCTTTCCAGAAACTATATCAGTATAGTTACAGTATAAACAACATATGTGCCTGAGCGGGTGTCTTTAAGAGGGACAAACTTACTCGGATGTAAAGAGCCTGCCATTTACTTTATGGTTGAAAAGAAACTAGAATTTACCGTATTTTGTATGTTTATGTTTAGGGAGGTATTGGTGGCTGAAAGACGCTCCAAAAAGCCTGTGTTAAAATCAAGTGATCAGTAGGTCAAGTGTAGATACAGTCACCATATTGAAAGCAATGACAAAAACAACAAACGACATTAAGAGTTCACCACCATGTTTAGATAAGATCACAGCTTCAAACCTTGTGTCAAGAAAGAACCAACCGAAAAAAATCGCAGAAAAGGAAATAAATTGAACCTCATCTCCACATAGAAGACAATCGAAAACTAAAAAAGATTCCGGGTAGGTTTCTGGATAAGGCAATCGAAAAGTTTTGATAAAAAAATGCGTGATTCATGTAAATGGATTAAAATACTATTATTAAATAATATAGTTGTATTTGCATAATTTTGCTACATCTGGTGTTTCGACTATGGATCTGAAAATTCAAAGAATATTATAGGACTTTACAAGGCATCTCAGTTTCAATCACTTTCCTACAGGCGTAACGCAACTTACGTCCCTTCGCATTTTCTATAAATATTTTCATTGTAATTCTGATGAGTTTTTCTTCTTTAGTCTCTCAACCTAATGGATTTTAGCCGAGTACTCTATTGGAAGTTACGCCTCATCATTTTACTGTTTAAATTGCGAAATGTAACCGCAAGATCTATTCTTATAGTTTCTTCTACCGCCCTTCTCTCTCAGTTTCTTGCTTTCCTTTCAGCTAAAATATAGAAGGAAAAAAACAATCATCTTTTTCTTTTTTGGATCTTGTTCTTTGTCTTGGCTTGTTTCCCAGTAACGCAAACCCTGCTGTGTCTTAGTGGCCTTATCACCTTGCTCTTTAAAAAAGAGAGAGAGACTTTGGAAAGGCAACTTTTAAAAAGAGTTGCAAGAAGCAATTGTTGCACGAAAATCTGAAGACAAACGAACAGAAACAAAGAACTATCATCTCTTGCAACAGTGAACAGCAACTGGGAAAATTGTATTATTATACATTTTTCCCGCATCTTGTGAGCAGTAGCATCACCAACCAGGAATTTAGTACCGGAGTACAGATTCTTCGACTATTAAACGTGTGAGTGATTTTCTAGTCAGTCGATGAATTGAGAGAATTACTATTTAGACTCAGTTAATACCATTTGTTTTTAGTAACCATTATTTTCGCTTTAAATTCTTGGCACCCGCAATTACTTTCTAAGACGATAGCTTGCGAATGTCGTTATTAGTTCAGTCGACAAGACCAACTGAGATTTGCTTTTAGAATCAACCAAGTTGTTATTTTTTCATTATTCGATCGCGTTTCGCACAGTAAATGATTAGGAAAAGATTATAAAAGGAATCTGACTGGGCTTCCTGCAGATATTTGTCGAGGAAAAACGAAGGGACGAATATAGGTCCGTGGAGGGTGGGAAAAGAAACAATAAGGGAGAGGTGTATGTTTATCGCCTGGTGATCGTAATGACACAGTTGCATCATGGGAACGAAGTTACAAGCCTTCCCCCCAACCCCCGATTAATTTGAAGAGGATTGATGAAACAAAGAAAAAGAGAAGGGGGTAAAAGAAAAACAAACAAAGAAGAAACGGAGATTAAAAAAAAAGAACAAAAATCGAAGAAAAGAAAAAAGAAGAGATATACGGAAGGAGGAGGGGGCGTAAACAGCAATTAAAAACGAAAAAGAAAAAAGAAAAACAGAAGAGAAAATGGAGAAGGAAAAATAGAGCAAAGATTTTAAAAAAAAGAAACAAAAACATTAAACAGGAACAGCTGTGATTTTTCTATTGTTCTCCCATTCCAAGGCCTAAGAGGCATTCAAGGTAGCGGACTGCTAAACGCGTACAGGTCGAGGGGGAGAGGTGCATATTATAATGATATATAACTGTTCACTCAAGACCTGAAGAAGTTTATATTATGGCGATCGATGAAGTACCCTGACTGGATTCTGTTCCACAAAGTAAGTCGTGTTTAAATTAAACTTCCTCCTTACAAATGGAATACAAAAAGAATCAGACTGAGTTATTCCATATGACCTGATGGTCCTAGCTGTGACGGTCTGGACTGCTGGAGCTAAGGAATATAACTTGCTTGAACATTTACCATGGAAAGCTTAAATGTAGCAACGTTACGTCTGTGAGAAAAGAGTGGAAGTGTTGAAAATAATTCATCATCCAAAAGGCCGCGTAAGAGCTTTTCAACTGTGCTTCCTGATAAAGAACTGATATCTCCTCATACTTAAATTAAAGCGTATTTAAAAAGTCATTTTTTATAGAAAAATTTAAGACGATTATAAATAAACACACCGATTATTTAAAAAAAAGATAACAGGTATGAAAGGGTAGGAAATGCCAGGCACTAGGAACTATGCAAAGAACTTGTAAAGAAAGAATATCAGAACAAAAAACAAAGACTCGTGTAGAAAAAGAAAAAAAAAACAGAAATTATAAGAAACACTACAATTTTAAGATCTTGACTGACAATTCCCTCCATATAAGTAAACCATATCTGATTATATAAACAAGAAAATGGAAATATGTCCGATTGTGGAATTGGCTGTGACAGAGAAGTGTAGTCTAAAAGTCAGAAATTAAAAAGAATTATCTAGCTCGAGAGGTGTGAAAAACGGAAATCACGAAGGTTAAGGTAGTGCCGATAATAACTAAAGTACTTGGAACCGTGCTTAAAATTACAGTTACGAGAATATATTTAAGTATACCAAGTGTCTAAAAGAGGTCGAGAAAGATAAAACAGATCTTTTTCTATGTGCTGTTTCCCTTCAAAATCCAAGCGTCCATATCCCTCCTCGACTTCCTATTCCTTGTAGCTCTTCGCAATGTTTGTATTTTTGTCATCCTCTTCATCAACCGCGACTCGCTATCTATTCACACAAGCTTGTCAGGTTGATGACCTAATGCCTCCCCTTGAGATTTTTTCATTTGATATGTGCTGTGAGTGTCAAATTCTCCAAGTCAACCTTCCTCATTATGTGTTTTTTTTTTCTCTTTTACACCAGAGAGAACGCAATAAAATGAATGCTATACATCTCTGTCTTATCCGCGGAATCCTCT